TTGAACTCACACATTTTCATATATTCATATGGACAATGGTTCTTATTGCTCTTTATTTCCATAATACAGAGATGTTGCCTGGGACATATATGCAATTAATAAATATTTATTGAATGATTAAGTCATAAGTGCACAAAGTTTCCACCACAGTCCTTCTTGCATCTAAGTGTCCATATGAATATATGAAAATGTATGAGTTCAAACTTCCTACATTTACTCATCTAAATGGTGAGGTCTATAGAAATGAGAATGACTAAAAGTTGAGGAGAGTGATCTAGATTCTCCAAGAAAGGAAAACAGCCCTGCCCCCATTTCTCTGTGTTCTGGAGAATGAACTACTTGCGTAAGCTGAGAGACAGATCAGGCTTGTGATACTGGGTTCTAAGAACCTACCTTGTGTCAGGCAATTTGCATATACAATAAACATGAATGGCATAGAAACTGGGGTACAACCACTGGCTTGCTCAAGGTCACATGCGCTTACAGAGGCAGGACAGAAATTCCAACCAGATTTCCTTGATTCCAGGATTCATGCTTTTCCCACTGCAGCACAACACTTTTCAAGATAACTATATCCTGTTAAAACCGCAGTCAATTTAAGTAGCATTTAATCATGATTACAAATCTCATATAATGTCATTCTTTACTTGCACTGACATGATTGCTTTCAGTTCTTCCCTAATTCTTTCAGATGATCAGTCAATGTTACTTGGACAGTTAAAAAACACTTTTAAAATGAGGGATGATAATAATATGTTATTGAAGATTTCAGTGATGTCTTCAAATTAAACAGCAATTTCTCAAAAAACTAACTGCCCACCAGATTTACAAGTGCCCTTCTAAAACTCATAAATGCTTCCTAAGCATACGGCTGCTTTATGAGGTAGTAAGGTGCACTGTGCCATCAAGCACACACAGAGGTAGCATGCTGTAGATCCAATGCAACAGGATTCCTAAATGTTTAGCTCTGATCTGCATTTACAGCTCCTGTGTTAACACCTGTAAACAAACTGTGCAGAGACTTAAGCAAATAAACATGATAACCCCCAAAGATTTTTAATTTAGCAGCACAGTTTTAGAGAATGCAAAAGAAACACCATTACAGAACTAAAAGATGGTGTGGCTGGCGTCCCGACTAGTTAAGTTCTCCTTGAGACATTGCATTGGTAAAGTTCCTTCTGCTAGTACTACACTCAGCACTCTGCAGAAAGTGCTACGTTGACATTGCTCAATGTGGGAACTGTTTCTACAGTACAAAAAAAAAAATGCCTTGTGTGCTGCATTTCATTATGAATTTCAAGCTAGGTAAATAGAAGAGACTTTAATGCATACACTAGAGAAAATTCTGCTTTCCACTCCAAACTGCTCTTCGCATAGACTTCACAGACCTCCACCCCTACTCCCTGGTCTCCAGAAGCTAGAAGCGAGGACTTTGCAGTTACCCAGCACTGGCTAAGAGCTGGCAGGGGCTAAGAGGGGAGGTAGAAAGTGGGAACAAAGAGCCATAAATGACTCTGCACCCTTCTATTCACTTTCCCACTCTGGGGTTAAGGTTGTACTGCCTGCTAACAGCATCACAGGAATAATAACAGACGAATAACTGCTGACAGCAGCAGTGAACTTTGATTCTTAACTCCCACGTACCCCACAGGCATCCCAACATGATGATCGTCACAGCAATGGCACTGCTGCCCTCTTAAAGAATTGTGCTCAAGCCTCTGATGGTATCAAGACTCTTCTGTGGTGCCTTTGAGTCTTGAAAGGGTGTAAAACAGCATGCAAAAGAGGCTTTTATTTGGATGTATGCTCTGGTGAATTCCTGGTCAATGTGAACTCTTGCCATGTCTCAGAATGCCTTTAGTAATGTCTTCTGCCTTTTTGGTCCCTAGTGATCTCTGACACCTAATACTGTAACTAACACAATGGATTTCTCTTCTGAATGTACACCAAAAAATGTTTTAGCAAATATGGATGTGTAAATACCTAGAAACTACTAAATGTAATCTTGCTCAAGCAGACTCCAAAAATGAATTTTCTTTGTATTATGTGAAAACTATGATACAGATTTACACTAATACTATGATTTTTTTTTCTTTTGTGATTCTGGATTTTGATCTGCTTCAGTGGAATGCAAACTATTTAAAAAATAATACTGTTAGACTTGTTGGCTTTTGTTAAACTTTGGCAAATTAGTAAAATCTTTAATTACCTATAGAACTAGACCTTTAACATATGTTCTTTCTCCTCCAAATGAATGATTTAAGAAAATTTTGTTATTTTATAAGAACAATTCATAAATCTATTATATGTGCTTTAAGCAATTAACTAGACAAAATATTTTCAGTATGTCGGGACTATAAGGAAAAAAAAAAGGATTGCTTAACCGTTTCTCTTATCCCATATGGAGAGTTTCATAATATATGAACTACTGTGTACTTTATACTGCTAAGAAATTTGTGGCACCACATATAAATCAGCATAGCCATTTCAGATTCAAAAGTAGAAAAAAACGTTGCATTAAATTAGTTCAATAAACAAATCACTGAGCACAAAAAATGGAAAATGAATTACTCTATTTTAAAATCTATTTTGTCTTTGCACATTTTAAATTAATCATATATATTTCATATTGGTTTCCTGTTACTATAAAATGTGTAAAGTTGGGACACCTGAGAGGTTCAGCAGTTGAGCGTCTGCCTTTGGCTCAGGGTGTGATCATCGGATCTGGGATCAAGTCCCACATATGGCTCCCTGAGGGGAGCCTGCTTCTCCCTCTGCCTATGTCTCTGCCTCTCTCTATGTGTCTTTCATGAATAAATAAATAAATCTTTTAAAAAAGTGTGTAAAGTTGACTGATACAATGGCAGATTAACTAAAATAATCGACAGGAATCAAATATTTCTAAATTAATTGTTACATAGGATTTTTTACACATATATACACACAAAACTAGCATGCTACTTGTGTGTGTGTATACACAACTATCCATTTTAAAAGCTGATGGCATCAGTGAACAACTGAATATGAGAGATTTCTAATAATATTCCTTTTAAAATACTTATGTTATTTAACAGACAATATTCCAAAAATATGAATATCATCTAACTCATCTTCAACTGCAAATGTGTTCACATGAATCCATTTGAGGATAACAAAAATATGCCTATTACAATGTACCCTGGCATAAAAGATGCACCAATAAATTTCTATAATTGAGGCAAATTTCAAGATCATCAACTGATAATATATGCACATCAAGGTGAAATAATAACAATACTGCAACTACTTATAAATTGCAATTTAGATTTACATGGTTGATCCTTGCTCTCTATATGATTTAAATAAGGTGATTCTGACATATACTAGTAAGAATATTAGCTAATATGTCTAGATGACCTTGACTTACCACCACCATTTTTATCAAATTATCTTTTCACATTAAAAAAATGAATTTTTAACAAAAGTACTATATCACAATATAAAAAATAAATTATTCTTCCTCCTTTTTAATGCAACATTAATGGAGCATATATAACACTGTTACCTAGCTAAATTGTTTTTTAAATCCTCATTACATGTTTCTGTGTGCATATATGTGAGTGTGTGCTAATTAGATACATGTATTCAGTTCCATTAGCCCTTCTAAGACTATCAAATGTAGGCATTCATTTTCCATTTAACAATAAAAATCAAAATGCTTTAGAGATAAGGCAGAAAGTAACAAGGATAATTTATTGTCATTTAGGTTATTTACCCTTTAAATCATATTGCACAAACACGAGTAGAAACAGAAAATTTCTAACTATACAAACTGTAGCATGTAAATATTTCCACTGGGCAAACTGTCAAGACAAACTGGATAGCCTCAATGAAAATAAGTCTGTACTTTTCTTTCTTGGCTACACAAATGGAAGGAGAAAATCTTAATAAAAGGGACCTCTTCAGATAAAACCCACTTTTTCAGCCAAAGGCCACCTCCTCTCCCTTCCCCAAAGCACTTAGCCTATTTCTAGATATTATGAGTTTTTTTCTGAAACAAAACCACTATTGGCTCTTCTATGTTCTTTACTCTTGTCCAAGGTCAAATTATTCAAAATTCAACTTTTTTAATGCAAAAAAGAGGTATGAATATCTAAAATTTTATTCAAAATTTACTTTTAAAAAATCGCCATCCAGAAATTTTATACAGATATTCAGAAAGACAGCACTAATGAAAAAAAAAAAAAAGACAGCACTAATGATTACATAACCTAGAATAAACAGAATATTTCCAAAATAGTGAGGTCAAATAAACTTTCCAAATTCCTACTTATGCCTTTACAAATGCATTGGAAGTAACTCCACTGATAAAAGTAATCTAATCATTTTTGTAATACCAGTTAAAACTTCAAAAACTCCATTATCACAGCCCAAATTTCACTAACTTATATGTATTTACTTTGTCAACCCCCAATTTAAAAATATAGCTACAATGCACAATAGAGAAAATGAAGAGTTCCCACCAGGTGTTTCCAACAGGAAAAAACAAATCTGCTTTTTTCCCCCCATGGAAAAATACACGAACAAGATAACCATATTAAACTAAGGAATGTTAAAAGTTTTGCATAAATAATTCCAAACTCCCCATGTAATATACTAATCACATCTCAAAGACAGTAATATTTCCTCATCAAAAATGTTTTTAGCTGAGATTTATCATCTTTTGAAATGTCATACAAAATTTATCCCTTAATAATCACACAACTAACTTCATAGTTCATGGGGAGAGCAATTTATTAAAAAGGAGATATTAATTAACACACTTGGAAACTTCAGGTGACTTTTTTCTTTTATCTAAAGATCTAATCATTGATATAAATTAGATAAATATTCTAGATAGATATGTACTCTAGTTATATACTCTGGCAAATACCACACCAAGGTAAAACAGTAAGTCTGGAAATTTAAAACGTCCAAATATTTCTTTCACAGCTCATATTGGTGTTTTATTATTGTCTTACCTCAATGATTTTGTCATGAATCTCCAGGCCATCTGCTCTGTCAGCAGGTCCATTTTCCAAAATTTTTGAAACATAAATTCCTTCTGCTGATGCTTCTTCCTTATTATTCTATAAAAAGTATAACCATTAGCAGTAAGAAAGATGTAAGCAAAATTTTAGTTGGATAAAGGACAATTTAGTAAATGTAATATTGCCAATCTTCCCTAAACATGCATCTCTCTCTAGTAGCTGGGGATTTGGCACTGAATTTTAACTTCCTTAATACCAAATAGTCATTAATCAAGATGGCAGCTTTAATGAATGAGTCCAGCATCTCTGACAAGATTATCCATTTACTTCACGTTTTTGAATATACATAAAAAGCTATGTGGAAAGGGTATGTACAAGGTAATATTGACTGTCTCTTAAGTATTATTTATGAAATATCTTACTTCTAAAGAGATAAAGTATTTAAAAAGGGTTACAAGAAAACAAAAAAGTATATCCAGCCTCACAATATATTTGGTCTGAGATATGGTCATAGTTTTGAAAATATAATTTGGCCTCATGATATGACAGATTTGGAAATGTGGTTCTGACTGTATTCACAGGGGAGACTAGGAGCTTGCTCAAGTGTAAAATCCCCAAAGTTCAACTGTAACTGCAAGAGAACCCATTCAAGGCTAATCGGTACACATTTCCAGGTGCAATGAGCCTAATGATTAGTTAAACCTCAACCATATTATAACTGATACAATACAAATAGGACCTTTTAGCCAGTCATGGGAAAACAATTATGTTGCAAAACTTATCTAGGTAAAATGCCCAACATACTATAATAATAATTTCAAATGTCATTTTACTTCATGGCAGTTTAAATACAATTATTTCTCCTTAATTAACCTTCCTTAACATGAATCTGAAGAGCCTCTTAAAAATGTCCAGTGTGCTCTAAATGTCAAACACCTGAGTAGCATTTTATAAAAATATTCCTTAGGGGAAAAGAAAACAAAAAAAAAAGATACGATGAGAAGACTTCTATCCTTTCATAATAAATAGAGACTGTTCTAGAAACAGAAGCACAGCAGTCATTAGTTGCTAGGTTTTCAAAATACTAAACAGTAAGGGGGAAATATGTCATTGCCATCCTGACCTAAACACAGCATATGGCCAACAACTCTAAGACAGTTTCCTTGGACAACATCTGCAATGCAAGATGCAAGAATTTCACGGCAGTTTATTGAGAAAATTAAAGAACATGCTTCTTTTTTTTTTTAACTTTACCACTTTGTTCTAGTTATGGTGAAAATTAAATTGATGTAGTATTTGAAGGATATAAAAGAACTCTGCAACTACAGTAACTGGTTTGAGTTTACAACTCATGTATTTTGAAAACAATTGGCATCAATAAACAAAATATTATTCATTAAATTAAATTAAGGATTTGATTTGGGGAGCCAACAATATTGCAAATCAATTATCTTTAACATGGTATTTCTTATATCATTGCGAAAACAATTATCCCTTATTTCAATTTATTTTAACTGTTCATTCCATCAACGTGCATTATAAACTGCCTGGTCTGTGTTAGCACCTAAAAACTAACAAACTGACTTTAATAATTAGAGGGTATAATCAGGCAATATAGTTATCTAATATTATCAAGTAGAAATTGCCTATTCATATTACTGTGAAATAGGTTTAAGAAGTTTACCAATGGGGCTATACAATGTAAATAAAATGTGAAACAAACTCTCCTTTTTTTCTAAAGTAGGAAAGAGGGATGAATTTGTTAGCTGTTGGGTTTTTTTGTTTTGTTTTTTTCAAAAAAACGTAATTATGTACTGAGAATTTGCATTAAGGAATCTGATATTTGATCATAAGCATGCTATTAAAGATTAAATCACTTGTTTTCCTTATTCAAAATCTACAAATGGAAGCTATCTTCTATTATTTTACAAGCAAAGAGTGAGTTACGCATGAACAAAGTAGGTTACCTGATTTGGTCGACCTCCTATAATATTGAATCCCAATGTGTCATTTTCTCTTTCTAACACAATGGTGAATGGCTTATGTTCTCCATCCTAGACAAAAAGAGAGAAAATAGTTTAAAAAAAAAAAAGGAAAGAAAAATAAATGTTGTCACATACCTTAAAAAAAAAACTGTCCATAAATTTACATCTGAAAAGAAAAAAATTTAACATTAAAGATGGCTGAATCTGGGAGATTAATTTCTTCCTAAATTCACCATGAAAATATGTATTTTTGGGACACCTGGGTGGCTCAGCAGTTTAGGGCCTGCCTTTGACCCAGGGTGTGATCCTGGAGACCTGGGATCAAGTCCCACATCAGGCTCCCTGCATGGAACCTGCTTCTCCCTTTGCCTCTGTCTCTGCCTCTCTTTCTGTGTCTCTCGTGAATAAATAAACAAAATTTAAAAAAAAAAGGAAAGAAAATATGTATTTTTTAAATAGTGCTTTTGAGAAAAATTTTTTTTCAAAAATGTCTAAAGGGCTTCGTATTTTCATCAGTCTCTTATCCTAATACATCATCTAATTCTGGCTTCATTGTAATTTACGACAGATTTCTGGTAACCCTAAAGGTATCCTTATTTTTCTTCTTTTACAGTAGAGTAAAACAAAGAATCTCATAATTATTTTATATAAAAATTTCACTTTGGAAAGTCTTGAGGGATTGAAGTAATAGTGAGTCATCGATAAAATTCCTTCGGCAGTAATACCTGGATCGTTATTGTAAAGCAGGATCTGAGTTACAGTAATCCTAATTTTGAACAGTATTCTTATTTGGTTTTGCATAATTCTTCCAGAATTTTCAAAGGAAAGAATTTGTGTTAAATAAAACTGTACTTCTTCTGCTGGCAACCAGATAATAGTAAAATAAATAGTAATTATATCTACAACCTGTTTATTAACAAAGACCAGTTTAAATACAAGATGAAATCATGTCAGACTGGGTAAGGCTTATTCATGTCTGTGGCTATTATTAACTGTCCTAGGAAATTACATTTGGCAGTTAATGGTAAAATTCCATGAGCACCATCAGCACCAGTATCACCATCACCCCCTCTTCCTAGGAGTTTCTCCCAGGCAGTGCACACAGCAACCCCTACTGGTAATGGGAACGCATTTCTGAGGAGCATAGAGAAGCCTGACAGTCTGCAAATCATGAGCAGCTTTCCCCTCACTTCTCGAATCATAGCTTGACTTGTTGCATGGACTTCTCGGTCATAGAATTCTAGCTGCTGCTCCTTTCCATCAACCATTGCTTCCCTACGACCTTGTAACATGACCTGATAACACAGAGCACATTTCTGTGCTCCTCTCTGGGTCTTCCCATTTTGCAAATGTACCTGGCTAGGAACAGGATACAGAAAGGATGAGGGGTAGCATCCAGTTTTTTAACAAGCAGTGTGCCTCCCTTTAAGGGGAAACGTTTTAGCTACTCACACTTCAGTTTTTTGGGGTTTGGTTTTTTTTTTTGTTTGTTTGTTTGGTTGGTTGGTTGGTTTGGTTTGGTTTGGTTTGGTTTGGTTTGGTTTGGAAGGTTCCAGGACAGAAGCTTCTAAACTCCATGCCTGGGCTGGAGGCAGTGCAAAGCAGTCCCAAATGGGAATCATCCCGTGTTGCTCCTCCCCAGGGCGCTGAAGAATGAAAACAGCTCCTTGAATGGAGTGCAAGTTCTGCGAAATCCCTGCTCACCATGGCAGCGACCAACAATGTCAAACAGTGCGCAGAGGTCCTCCAGAAGAGAAGGAACAGCTTTATAAACAAGCCTCTTCACACTGGGGTGCTGCAAAGAGGCTTGTTTATTCAGTCTGAAAGCGGGCAGTCCCCCAGCACAGTTCGGGGCCAGAAGCTTCGACAAAGAAGGGAAACAGCCGCTGCCCAGGGGCTCACAGGGCTAGTCTGACCGCAGATGGATGTGGCTGCTCCCAGACCTGGTTCCCCAAGCACCCCCCACAACACACACACACACACACACACACACACACACCACCACCACCACCACCAGCACCACCACCACCAGCACCACCAGCACCACCACCACCAGCAGCACCAGCACCAGCACCACCACCACCGCCAGGGATGAAATCCCAAGGCAGTAAAAGGATTCTTCAGGGACGGTCAGGCTAATGAAAACTCTGCAGGTCCAAGAAATCCCATCTGTTAACCTCTCAACACAAGGTCTTCCTGGTTTCCACATCCCGGACAGTCCCTGCACTGAGTCGAAAGGGGCCCATATGGGTAGCCTGGCAGGGAAACTAAGTCATCGGGAGCTAAAGGTGTATGACAAGGCCTCAGGGATGATGCTGGGGCTTCAGCAGTGGGGGAGGCAGGGTCGGAGAAGTCCTCACCTCCCGGCTTTGGTTTCTGATTGGCTTCAGGCACAGGGCAAGGGGAAAAAAAAAAAAGAAGAAAGAAAAGAAAGAAAGAAGAAAGAAAGAAAGAAAAGAAAGAAAGAAAGAAAGAAAGAAAGAAAGAAAGAAAGAAAGAAAGAAAGAAAGAAAGAAATCGCAGAGAGAGGGTAGGACAGGAGATGGGGAGCGAGGGTCGGGGTGGAAAAGTGAGTTTTCCTAATCCTTCCTTCTCCACCGAAAAATTGGGACCGATCCTCCTTAATCCGACCCAACCCTAATTCAAGCGGAAAGAGCGCAATCCTTGGCAAGTGCGGTGCTAAGGCAGCGGCAGGTACCGGTCAGGGCGGGTGCGCGCCTCCCCCCGCGCGGCGGCCAGGAGGGCAGCTCGGGAGCTCCCCGGGCGCCGGGCGGAGCGGTCTTCCCTCTTCCACCCCACACCCCCCCCCCCCCGCCCGCCCTCCAGGAGCCGGATCCCTCTGCGCTTACCCGGCCGCGGCCGCCGCCCAGCTCCCCGGCGAAGTTGCGGACGTGAGCCATGTACTGCGCGAACTTCTCCCGGTACCCGCGGGCCGCGAGCTGCACCTCGCCCTGCAGCGCCCGGAGCTGCGCCCGCAGAGCCCTCTCGCGCCGCCTCCAGGCCAGGACTCGCGCCCCGGGCCCCCGCCCGCGCCCGCTCCCGCCCGGCGGCCCCCCGCGCGCGCCCCCGCCCCGGCCGGGCCCCGGCCCCGGCCCCGGCCCCGGCGCCGCGCCGCAGCCCCCCCGCGCGGGCAGGTCCCCGCCGCCGCGGCCGCCGGGCCCCGAGACGCAGTCCCGCGGGCGGCGCCGGGCCCCGCGCTCGACGTGCGCCGCCAGCTCGTGCAGCCGGGCCGAGCGGCCGCAGCCCTGGACGCGCGGCTGCTGCACGAGGCTGCGCGCAGGCGGCGCCCGGTGCAGCTCGCCCGGCGCCGGGGGCTGGCGCTGCCGCGGGCCCCGGCGCCGCCGCGCCACCCAGGGCAGCAGGCAGCCGGCGCAGAAGACGTGCCCGCAGGGCGTGCACAGCGGCTCCCCCGGCACCTGGCCGCACAGTTTGCACTTGGAGTCCGGGCCCTCCGCTGCGGCGAAGCGCTCCAGGGCAAAGCCCATAGTCGGGAGGGGGAGGAGGAGCAGCGAATCCGAGGCCACTTTCTCGGAGCCCCCAGGCTCCCCCGGGCTCCCCCTGGGACGCCTTTCCCGCGGCAGGGGTCAGGCTCGGAGGGGAGGAGGAGGAGGGGGGGGGCGGCGATCCTGGAGTTTGGCTTGAAGTTTGCGGGCTCCGGCTGGGTCCCCTGGCTCGGCCGTATTGATGCTAATAGACGCCACCCCGGGGACACGCGCGCGCGCGCTCACACGCACCGCCTCCGCCTCTTTTGCGGCTCTGCAGTTTATATTCTTTCCAGTTTTGTCCTCAAGGAGCTGAGACCTGCTGACAACGGCCCCGTCGTCAAGGCAGAGCTGATGACGGGCGCGGCGCGGAGGTCCAGAGACAACTTTTCACTCCATCCGCGCGTCAGCTCGCGGGGAGCAAGGCCGCTGTCCGTCGGTTTTCCGCTAAAACGCGCGTCGCCCCGCATCCCGCGGAGCTCCCGTAAACGTGTTTGAAATCCACGCAGTTCCGTCCTCTCAAATCAGCTTAAACCCCTGAATCGGCAGCTAAGGGGCTGCGACCTTAGGGGAGCGCGGTGAGGGATCTCCAGGGCCAGGCTTCGCGAATCACGATCCAGAAACCAGGTGAGCGTAGCGAGGCGGAGGGATGCCCGACAGCGGGGATGGGGGAAAGGCCGGGGGGCTCGCCCTAGGACACCTCCCTCGCGGAACTCGAACCGCCCTTCGAGGCCCCCTACCGCGGAGGACGCCCCAGTCTGCTCCTCGCGGTCAGCCTCCAGGGTCTACTCAGCACCATCCCTCTTCTAATTCCGCAGGTATTTTACCTCTGGGAATGGGAATGTGACCCTTTGGGCACCTGGAAGGAAGAATTAGAGGATTGCGAAGGAAAGCGGGGAAATGGCAATATCTTACTTACCCTGAATATATGCAGTTTAGATCAAAACTACCCCTTCCTCCATTTGACTCCTCCAAGTATGTAGATGCCAGGCCCTGCTGAAAGCATGCACGCCCTCCTTCCGCAGCTTCCTTCCCCGTCTTCTGAACCTGAGGGATGCACAGCCACCCTGTCACCTGGATGCACACCACTTACTGCCATTATCCTGAAGCTCACTCCCCTTGCTTAGGATGGGCTTCCTAAATTAATCACTGATGATTCCTCGCTGCCAGGTGAGCGTTGTTTCCAGAAAGCTGTGTGCCTTTGTATTGTATGGCACCGAAGGCATCAGTTAAAACGCATGAACAAGGCTCCAGATTTTGTCCTTTAAATCCTTGGTGCTCACCGAAGAATTGGCAAATAATAATAATGATTATTATTATTATTTATTTATTTAGTAGCCGCCAGTAATAGAGGCTACTACTAAGAACCTTCTGAGGCTTCTTTCTAGATGAAAGATGAGATTTCATTAGAGCCTTTCAATAGTGAGTGAGGATCCTGGAGTGACTTGCCAGATACTTGATATGCTTTTAAATGTGTTTAAAAATAAGATGCTATGTTTTGTATTTTATACATGCAGATATATAATAAAGTAACAGTTGCCACAATGCTCCAAACTTCCTCCTCCCCTTTGGCCTATCGTTTGCCAGGTAAATAAACAAATGATAAATTCCTGAATAACTAAGAAATTTAACATTAACAGTGTGAACATATTCTTGTGAATTGCATAGACCAGGTAAAGCAGAATGTTATGGAACTTATTCAGATAATTCTGGGCAGAAGGGATCTATTCCATCTTTTTTTTTTAGCTATGGAAAAAGCTATGACTTATAGCTATGATTTCATAGCTAGGGCTTGACATTTATTGTTTCTCGATAAACATGATGGCATTTGAAAAAGAAAGTAAGAGATGGAGTCTAAAAAGTATTCTATTGAGGTATGAAGAAAATGAGGCTTGCAGCTACTTGAAAAGAAAAAAATAAAACAATAGTTAATATGATGTCCTTGATCCACCCACGTAACTCTCGCAGCAAAAGTAAGGAACATGAGCAGATTGTGGTTTGCGTAATTCCAGAATGTATGACATTTTGATTGTGGAAGAGAAGATGGATGTCAAAAACCTTGTCCACAGAGAATAGCAAGTTTAAAAAATGAGAACATGTGAAGTGAGGCCAAGTAATGAAGTAGGCCAAAAAGGAGCTTAGGAAAATCTTTTACATGAGAAAATGCAAGCTTCAGCACTTCCAAAATAGTGATGTACCAGGAGAAAAACATTATAGAAGTCCAACACTAAGGGATGGATACGCCCAAGTGAGACTCATGGACTCTTCCCATATGAAAATTTTGTGCATGATAAATCTGTGATAGCCCTTGAGCCAAATGGTATTTCACTTCCCAGACTATAAAGAGCATTCTATATATTAGGAAATTTGTGATAGCTTGGAAAAGTTAGAATGAGAGGAGAACATGGAACCTAATTAGATTGAGTTAATTAGCTTAGGTAAGCAAAGAAAGCACTTGGAATAAGTTTAAAATATGCCCACGTATTTCAGGAAAGCAGATCTAGTAACATTCAAATGTCTTTTGGCAAATGAGACAAATTAGCACGTTGCATCATAAGCTTGAGCATATCCTTATGTTTTTCCCTGATGATAATTTTCTTTTAAGAATCCCTGGCTAGTGAAATAGCACCACGAGGAAAAGCAGAAAGGTAAGCTCTGTCTTCCTTCTTGTTGGGCAACACCAACTTCTAGCTGTCCTGCAGATTGGGGCCAACACCAGGCCTGTCACTTTGCTTCGGAATGGATCTGAGCAAATGCTTTTGCCAATCAAGAGACAAGGGAAAGAATACATATCCTTAGCTCATCCCAAAGCCAAGGACCATGGCATAAACTCAAAATATCTATAAGTAGTATTTGGTTGAGTATTTTCAGCATAGAAACTAGTTTTTACTTGGATCCACTGTCATATATATGTGAAAACAGATAAAAAAAACTAACTTGCAATATTCCTTGAGCCAATTCCTAGCAATAATGAAACTAGAGTGCCTGTGGGAGTTGCCAGTGAGAGGAGGCAGCATTCCAACCTAGCTCTGAGTCATCCCTACTTCCAAGATGAATAGGGAATCTGAGAGCTACTGATTGTTAAGTCAAACGCTAACAGATCTGGTATTGAAATGTTATATTCCAAGACTCGGAAAGGATTAGAGAGGTGAAAAAGGAGAAAGAGATCATTTTTTCCCATCCCACATATAGATAATACTTCAGAAACCCATTTGTAATTTTTTTCATGTTGTCTCATGCTTTTAAGAATCATAAAATCAAGAAGAAATTTAGGGAAATTCTGAAGAAATTCAAAGAAATTCTTGAATAAATAATTTTATTTCATACATGTTCATATAATATAGCATAAGTTGGTGCTCTTAACATGAGAATAATTTTTAAATCTTCTAAGAACTTGAAATCTCATCATTTATATATTTTTTCCCCTGAATCTCTGGTCATATATCATGAATTAGTATTATAATCTATAATTATGTAGATTATATTAGTATAATATTATACATTTTTCCAAAGTGACCTAAATTTAAGCTATAGTGAAATAAGATTATTCTAGTAGAAGAGGCAGAAATATGCAGCTAGTTCAGGCCAAAATAGTGACTACGGGATACATTTCTGTGTGTTATTGAAGTTAACATTCATTTTTGTTCTTATCATGATACATTTTTATGTCATAATCTAGGATCAGAATTGAAACTAGTAGCATAAATAAATATGTTCATAAAGCATGAGATAATAACAGGCTCAGCTTGAGAATATTTAAACATTCTGAACTTGATAAAAAGAGTAAGAGATGCTAAGTTGACCCTTGAACAACACAGGAGTTAGGGGTTCCAACCCCCACACAGTTGCAAATCCACATATAGCTTTTGACTCCCAAATACTTAACTATTAGGAGCCTGCTATTGACAGGAAGCTTTACCCGTACTATAAACAGTTGATTAACACAGACTTACAAAAAGTAAAATAGAGAAAATAAAATGTTATTCAGAAAATCATAAGGAAGAGAAACTACGTTTACAGTCCAATAGAAAATTCACATATAAGTGGACCCATGCAGCTCAAACCAGTGTTGTTCAAGGATCAACTGTATTTGAAAACTTATTAAAACAAGACAGTTATTTTTACAAAATAAACCGATATCATGCCAGAGAAAGACATAATATGGGTTTGGTTCTAGGTTTTACTTTTTGGAAAATGTGCAGTTAAACCCAGAGAACATAGAGCAACGCCCATCCTTAATAATCCCTGTTTGCTGACACGGAATCCATTAGGAATTGTTTGCTATTAGTTTGCTTTTCAATGATTTTTGGCAAAATGGAGAAGGGGCAGCACAACAGTACCAAATGCCATTTTTTTTCCAAATGCCATTTTTAAGAGGAATAAAATAATGTGAACAGAACTATTATGTACATCAAAATACAGTGTTTTATAGTAATTATACAGTGTCTGTGGGAATGAATTATCTGACAAAGCCCAAGGAAGACTCTGAAGAAAACCAAGTTAAAATGAGATATTAAATTAAAAATTGTGGCAACTTTCACATCTACAACAGACTGACTGTCTAGAGTCCCTAAGACAATACTTGGGGTAACATTACTATCCTACTTAAGAGAGGCCTGTTGTGAAAGATGCTTTGTATAGGAGGACACATTAAATCCTGCATTTAATTAACCCTGATTTTGTGCTATATCTTTGTGGATCACAGTCACTGACAATGAGGGAAAGGATCAAGAACAGCTATAATAGCTAATACGTAATAGCTCTTTCTATGTGACAGACACATCAGTATGCTCTTTACATGTACAATATATTCAATTCTCCAATGATCATCTTGGGTAGTTATTATTATCCCCACAATTTGCCCAAGTTTACACAAATAGAAAGAGGCAGAACCGTGGATTAAACCAAAATCTGCCTCATTAAGGAACTCTCACTCTTAAACAGTACTCTATCAAGAGCTTTTCCCCTGCATCTACATTGAATTATTTTAAAATAAAATGCAC